ATTTAACTTCTACTTAAACCTCGAATATTCCTCAACCACTGAAAGGACTTTGACTGATTCCATTAACAAAATCGACAGCTTACCACCAAACGGCACACCAAAGCCGGAAATTAATAACCCAAACATTTTTAGGGGTTGCCTTCGATAGCTGGCAAAGAAACTATGTTGGCAACAAAGAAGTTCAGCTTTAAACTATCCTTCGCTAGTTTGGCCACCACCACTGACTAGTAGAGCGCAGTGGACAAAGCCATAGCGTGGTCAGACCACCGAATTAAAGACTCAGCGGGATGTCTTGTGATGGCGGCGGAATACTACGAACATAGCGAATGCTTCGTATTAGGGTATAAGCAAGGCATTTCTGCCCGGTTGCTACCATAGAGAAGATCCGAACAGTAACTAAAATGGAACTAAGGCTGAGATTGTGTAGAAGGATTAACTCTTACTTTTCTATACTCGACGTCGACATACGAGTATGTACATACATATCACATACTCCGCATGATACCAACCACCTCTTCACCAGGCCTCTGAAAGCCGCTCCCTCTGGTTCGGCTCCGTCGAAATAACAGGGTTCCGGGGTCTACCGATAGCTGACGTGGCCAGTTTTACACTTTCTAGAGTAGTTTATGTTCTAAGTCTTCGACACAGATACACTATAAAGCTTGGTTAACGGATAAAGTTTGTACAGTTGGTAAAGTTTTAACTAACTGACAGTCAAATTTTAAATAGGCATCAATATTCGAAAGTAAACCCTTGACATTTCAACAAAACTCCGCTCCAACTGAACTCAACTCAAACCTGTCTAGGAAACCAAAGTTCCAAACAAAATTTTCCACTGACGACTGACCATCATGTATTCTAGATCGGACCTTAAGCCATTAGTCTATGAACTGCGGTCTATTCTGAGGACTGTGACTTGCACTACTTGACCCAACGAATGAGGTGGGCACTACATCCGATACAGGATCGACTGCAATGTAGGTTGAGTTAAGTTATGCTGGCTGATCATAAGAGTTCTCAGGTAGACGAAGATAACGGCCGTAGTGTTTCTACAATACGTTTACCACCCATGAATCAGTGCACTCACGCAATGTTGGAGAACATTCCCGGACCTTTAGCGAATTTTAGTAAACACTTTGGTCCTTTCCTACAGGATTAAAAACTTTGGAATAAAAGTAAACACAGGGTGTCCCTTCGGTTTTCCAGAAAAACAATTTCTTTAAACAAAATTTCAAAAAATGGTAAATTTTAATGGAATGAATAAAGAATACATGTTAAAATATGTTACTTTTTATTATTTTGTTAAATAATACGGTTTTTTAGCTTTCGAAATAAGGAATAAAAACTTGCTAATTTTTTGCACTTTTTGAAGTAATGCGTTTTTTGGTAATGCATAAAATAATTTTTTCATTTCTTGTCAGTGCCGTCATCTCCACGATTCGTTCTATTTTCAAAAGTGAAGTTTCATATTAAAAAGCTTGACCTGTAGACAATAGGGGTTTATTTTTTTTAAGAGTTGCCATCTGTAAAAAAATTAAATTAAAATTTTTCAATAAGTTACATGAATTGTTAAGAGATGGGTATCAATCGAAATGTATATGAAAAGGGTTTATTTCTTAACTACATGTAGAGGGTTGCCACCTGGTTAAAAATTCAAAATCCATTTGAATTAAAGGAATTAGATAATTTAAATAGACAGGTATCACCATATGGGAGTCAGACGAAAGAGGTTTAAGAAGGTTTTAGCTTGCAAATATTACGAAGAAGGTGCCAGGTGGTTGTGAAGTAAAATTTAGTTAAAGTAGAAAAATAATTGTGCCAAAGCAAAAGTTTACTACATCGTATTTGTTATTTTATTACAAATACATACGTTGTCAATCGGTAATTTGTTCTGATTACATTCCTTTTAAATTACTGGACCCTTTAATTAACTCTGGAATGTTTTTACTCTTCAAAAGCCAAAAGTTGACTTGCTGTCTACATTGAGGCAAGCGATTTTCGAATCACCATTTCTTGATTTTTCTTGAGCAATGTTGATGTTGTATAGAAAATCGCCTCATGTAAATGCAGCATAATTCAAATTTGAATTTAAAGAGACATTTTTGGATCTTCGCCCTATCCAACTTGAATAGTCACACATACGCATGAATCCATGCCATGTACATGCATACATACATAATACGTATTTAGGTGTACATTAGGGTGCATTACTCTCCATAAAAAAAAATCAGTATTATTTTCCATCGGAATTATAAAATTTATTATATTTTAAGACTTCTTCCAAAATATTTCGGCAAAATATTAATATTTGCGTGAGCTGAACCCATTTGAAAATATCTTCAAAAATCGAGTTTTTTTATAAATAATTTTTTTTTTAAATATTTTTCCCAAAAAATCACCCTAGATGATAAAGTAAATCCTAAAAGGTCAGCATAAAAATGTTTAACTATTTATCAACGGAATCGAAATAATGAGTTTTTTAAGATATTTTCAAATCGGCCTAACTCACGTAAATCTTAATATTTTTACAAACTTTTATTTAACTTGCTTTGAATGTATGTACATATGTATGTATGTATGCATGTAAGTATGTTTGTTTGGGTCATGTCTTAAAATCAATCTTTAACGAACTTCCCGATAAGCTAGAGACTTGTAATTTCAAAATTAACTCAGAACTCGATGACAATGCAATTTGGAAGATGAATTAATCCGCTAGGTGGCACAGGAGTCGAGATATTTGGAGAAACCGTATTTATTGTCCGATTTTTCCGATATATTTTTGCGGAAGCCTTAAAAAATAATACATTTTGTAACTGCGGTGGAAAACCCGAAACTTTTTTTGATGATGCCCCTAATGTACAAATATATGTATATACCTGCATTGTATGTATGTATGCATACATACATATATGCTGGTCTTGTCTTTGACTCCGACTAGAGAGTGAGGCTTTTCATTTCCTTTTGAACCAATTTCATTGTACGAGAGTACATATTTGCAGTAATTGCTGAGTTGATTCGAGAAGCTTTATGGTTAGCCGCCACCAAAGTTAAAGCCCAGCCTGTCGTACATTCAGTTTTCGATAAGAGAGCGGCAATTGCGGTGGCAATCGTGCCGTCGGAGTTTAACATTTCTTGCGGTACTTTTGTAATATTTAGGTTTTGTGTTAAAAAAAAAAAAAATACTCCCTAAAATAATACATAAATCTGAAGGTAT